TTTTGACTCAATGATAGATCTCAGTCCAGGTGTCCTTTTGCAAAGACAATATTCTAATTGTCCTTTAGATGGCGCCTGCTGTCAGATAACAAAAGAGAGACAAATAGCAAGATACATGTTCATGGATAATGAATCATGTCATACTACAGTTTTAATATGGTTTTCTTAACTCTGGTTTTTTCTGCCCCACCCCCGTCAAACCACCACCACCGTCACCACACATGTCAGTGAAACTTGGCTCCGGGCCCCCCTAGGAATCCTGCCTCCCAGTTTGGGATCCACTGTCTTAACTTGATTTACCAGATCTGCCCGATCATCTTTAGAAAGGTTTTATATGGTTGATTTAAAGTTCAATAAACATTGATATTGGAAAAAAAAATCCAAACACAAAGCATACTAAATGACACATCATACACAAAGTGCATGTCAATAAGCAAACCAGAAATCATAGCTAAATGCACTAAAAAGTTATTCAAAAGTTCCGCCTGACAATATACTGGATGTCTTGTATTTGATTTTTAAACCTGGGTAATGTGGGTGTGCGGCAGAGCAGGAAGGGTCATTAAAGTTAATTTCCTCAGGTTCATGCTAAAAGTTTAACATGGATTCAGATCTTATTAGAAATAGCAGCTCAACACAAAGTTTCATTTGTGTTGTAAGAAAGAAAAGATATATGGAAAGGTTGTACACAGCAGCTTGATCAAAGCCAGAGTCTGTCTGGCCTAACTAGGTCTGGATACATGAGGTCCTGAGATTGACTCGTGGCCTGTCATGTAAGCACGTCCACCACCTCAGCCTCACTACCATCTAACATCTGCAGGCTCAATATGCCTTCTCATTTCTACACTGCATTTTCAAAAGGACTTATTGCAGTCTGGAAAAGGCCACAATGGAAGAATAAGTTGAAAACAAAGTGTGTTAAGGAACTTTGCTGTTTATGACTGAATTCATGATGGCTGAGAGTTTCAGAAGAGGCGTGGAAATAGTTCTTCTTTACTGAGTGACAGCCCCAGAAGTATTGGTGCCACAGGCTGCTTCATATCTGATCTTAAATGTTGTTCCTGTGTCCTCCTCTTTGGCATTTCCTTCCTAGTTGTCTTGTTCCCATGGTACTGTACAGTAGCTGGAAGTATGAGGAGAAATAACTCATCAAAAATTTTCACCTTCACAGAGGTAAGGATAATTAACGAACCTTTAAGCAATGCTGAAAAGTAAAATGTGTTAAATTAAGATCTTAAAATCTGAGATTTCTGTCTGTGGCCTCATATATAATGTCTGACATTTTTTTAGAACTTAAGTTAAACGTTAACCAATTTCAGCTATAATATTAAGAACAAGATGGCACTTTGCTTGTGTAATTGATCTGTTGTGCATTTGGATTGACCTCTCGTTATCGTTCTGTGCTTCTTACTATTGCCAGACAGTTGTGGTGTAGATTAATGGAGAGACTTGTATTTCAGAAGAAGCCCTATATCATTGCACATTCAGATTAATAGCAGTATAATTGTCTATTGTGTTTATTAGATTAAACAAATGAGGCATAGTAGGTGCTGAATAACCATTTTTAATATAGATACACATGTTAAGTTTACCAATAATATTGTTTTGTTAATGAGAAGAGAAATCAATTACTGACAAAAGAAAGGCAATGTTTTATCATGAGAGAAATTTGTGATATAGGAAATTAACTGTTTTTTATGTCTTGGTCAATTTGATCAGAAATGGACAACAAATAAACCGGAGCATGTGGTGACAGTTGTTTATGTATAGATGGAACTCCCTAGTAGATGAAGGGATAAGGTCACAGGATCTACCAGAAAACATGGTCTCTTATCTGTTTCCCCTCAATGGTGATGCTAAAAGAGAGATGCTGTAAGAGCTAAATCCCAAACACTAAGAACCAAGATGTTAGTATGTGGGTCTCAGGACCAGAAACCAAACAAGCCTTCCAAAAATAATGGCTTTTGTGAGGCACGTCATATTTTCTGCAACAACAGACAAACAGCCCTGTCTGTGATTTACTTTTAGATATCTGCAAAACAAATGTTTTAATATGGTCAGTTCAAGAAACTCAGCAAAGGCCAAGCCTGACCTCTTGATTTACTGCACTCTGAATCATTTAACTGTATAAATACAAACATGCTCATAGCGTTTTCTGATATTTTCTGAAATTTTGTGCAGAGATAAAGTAGAATAAATATCTGCTGTAAAGGTGTATTGTGTCAGGTTGAGCTACTGTATAAGGTTTCACTTTATCCTTATTGAGCAAAGTCTTGAGGAACCTATCGACTGATGTTATTAACACCACTGCAGTGCACTGTCTGTTATTCGTCCATATTGCAGTAAAAAAGACAGTTGTGCTGACACTTGATATACTACTGTAGACACTTGAACTTTGTCAGCTGCAAGTTCCAGTCCTAAAATGTTAACATTTGATGACTGAAGTGTAAACATGAACAGATGAATGAGTGAGAATGTTTGCTCACCCTACTTTCCTATGAAAGAAGTAACCTATAGTTTAGTGTCTGTGAACCATCTGAGTTTCAGATCTCTTCATGTCATCACCGTCTTCACTTTATAGTTTGATACTTAGAAGCAGTTGATTTTATAATGTCATCAAACTAACCACGAGCTGACTGCTGATTCCTATGATTGCTCATCTCAGTTTTACCATGCTCGGGTTTTGTGTGTTCTGATGTTCAGAGACAGTGGGACTCTGTGGAGCAGGCCTTCTGTGCTGAAAGTGTGCAGGACCTTGACGTCAGGCGTGCAGTAAAGAGGCTCTGTTCGGGCACCCTGCAGCTTCCCAGGCTGTCCTCTAGACCCTACACACAGGAGGGATTAGAGGATGGCACCCCAGCCCACAGCATCAGACCCTCCAGGAGCCTGGGGACCCTGACCAGCTGCATCTCCAGAGCCTTGTAAGTCATGCTATGTGTTGTCAGTTTCCCACAGCCAATAACATTGGATCTTTTTAGTGACACGCCTGTTTGTTTTTCATCATTCTCACCAAAACTGTGGAGGAACTCTATCTACTGTGCATAATTTAATCTACCAAGAATGTTAAATGAAAATCTGGATATACATTTATCTGTGGGTATACAATGGGTATATAACTTATACATGTTATACAGCTTAATGAGCTAATTCACGATTAATTGGTTAATTAATTAATTTATGTTGATAATTTTATATTAAAAAGTTATTGAAATAGTATAGGATCATTAGTGACACCAGGGTGTTCACATTATTAACATTTTTAAATTAAAACTGACCAAAATTAAGCTAAAAACATGTTTTAAACTTTAAACCTCCAATGCCCTTCAGCAAGTCCACAGATTTTCTATAGAAAATATTTTCTACTAAAACACATGGGCTTTGTGAGAGTTTGTGTTTTTTTTTTTTTTTTTGTAGTTCCCAAACAACGCAAGCACATTTTCAAGATTAATGATTAAAGTTATAAATGATCAGTCAATAACCAAATCTTGTGACTCCAGTGCATTTAGGATGACTTTGCAGCTGCTCCCAACCGGCTCTGTTTGCATATTCAGCAGAACATGGCGCAATATTTTGTTGCCTCACTGCCTAATTTAGGGAGAAAAAGTTGATTTGCTTCATGAACATGTGATCCAACATGCTGTCACAGTGCTGAACAATTATCACTTTTAAAGATCATACAAACAAGGCTCTTATGATTGTTTCCATGACAACATTCAAGCTGCTGCTCCAAGTACACTTATAGGATGTTCTTTTTTCTTTGTAATGCCTTTGTATGCTGTACATGTGGACTGTATGTGTGTGTGCATGCACTGTATCTCTGGTCTCTTCCACATGTTGAAAGGACCGTAGAGAATGTCAAAGAAACTGGTAGAGTTCAGGAAAGAAGTTTAACACACTGAAGAGACAAAAATCAACCTAATCTGCTGACTGAAGCGACAGGATGAATGCAGAGAGTCTGTCACCTGATCTGAATTTGACTGATCAGAGGTCCACTTGCTGCGCTGACGAGCAGACTTAACAACACCACAACAAGCCAGAGCTGAAGGTGGCTGTAGTGAAGGCCTGGGGGAGCTACACTACAGAAGTGTTGGTGTTGTCTATGGGTTGTAGACTTGAGGGAGTTATTGACTGCAAAGGATTTTCCACAAAATATTAAATATGGTTTTTTTTTTTTGCATAACTGTCCAATTATTTTGGACACTATCTGTTAAATAGGCTGTATCACCTACACAATATATTCTATATTGATGCAAACCTACTCAAATGAAAACTGCGATGTGGCACTTCAATGTAGCATCTGTTTTCATTTCAAATTGAATGTGCTGAAGTGCAGAGATAAAAGAAAGAATTACGGTCTAGGCTGTGTGTACAGGACCAATGAGATTCACATAACTTGACAATTTATCAGACTTTCAAGTCAAACTCACTGGCGTGCAGATTCATCACATTAATTCCACTGTCTCATCTACAGATGAGGCAGTGGAATATAGATTAATACATTGTGATGATTAGATTATATTAAATCCATAAATGTTTAAATACCATCAGGTACACAGCAGTACTGCCAAAGACATGACATGATGGACCTGAAAGCCCTATATTGTGTTCCTCGTCTGGGAAGAGAGCCATGTACTCACCATGTTTACCAGTTGGTAGTGCAGTTCTGATGCAGTGCCAGAGAAATGGTTTATGGAGCAGCACAGGTTGTTTAAACCTGATAGTGCCACACAGGGTAGAAAGGTTCCATCAAATTTGAGTTGAGTTTTATGTAATGTCATTAATTTAATGTTTCACATGTATGCACCACCCCCCACCCCACACACACACATATACAGTATATATGTGTGTGTGTGTGTGTGTGTGTGTGTGTGTGTGTGTGTGTGTGTGTGTGTGTGTGTGTGTGTGTATCTGCGCTATAAAATAGTCTTGATTCAAGAGTCTGTGATCTGAAACTTGACAGAAACAGACAGATGCAAATGTTCTTCTTGGACAGATTGTTAAAAACAAGACTGAAAATGAGTCCTCTGTGGGCTCAGCAGGATCAGCAGCGCGATACCCCCTCCTCTGCTACAGTGCCTAATGTTTACGAGTTATGCATATGATGAGAGTCTGGGAAGAAGCCTGGAAAACAGGAGTTTTGTTTGGTTAAAAACATGAGCTAGAGTACAGGGTGGACAAGCATGATGCCACAATTTGATGCAAGATGCTTATGACTTTCTGCCTGAAGAGGAAGGTCCGCACAAGTTAAAACATTCTCAATCTGGAACAATGTGTCTGGTTTATGACGCCTATTAATTACTCTCATTGTAGCTCTGATTTGGCTTCCGTCAACTCCAGACAAAAAAAGTCTGGCCCTACAGCTCATAAATGCACCATTGCGTTCCCCAGCTGGTTTCTGATACTGTCTGTCTGCTGTTTAGTCCCAGGCAGGTACTGTACATTTGGTTTTTCAGAGCTTTCTTGCTGAAAACAGGTGTTTGAAAAAGGGGTTGAAGATAGGACTGAGACTGAACCAAAATATTAAAGCTGCAGGCCATAAAACCAAAACAATGAGCTGAGAGATGCTAAAATATTCTGTAATGCCGAGGGAAACCGCAGAGTCTGGTGGTGATTTTCTATTGGTGCAACCCCTTTCATATTGCACATAGTGATTTGATCTACTGTTAAAAGTATCCATTTGTGCAGTTCCAAAAGAAAACTACAAGTCAAAGTACAATATTTTTGCAATTTCTAGATCTAAAGGCATTGCAGACTCTATGAGCAAGATGGAGGTAACTGACCATTAATGGCAGCCCAGATAAAATATGTCTATAATGGATGTGATGATGAAGCTTTGAACCTGTTGTCATGGAAGTTATCAACTGGGAAGGACAGATACATCTCTTATCTTTTATAAGATTGTTCCTGCCTCCTTAGTCCTCTGGTCGACCAATGACATTGGATGTTCCAGGTCTCTTATATCACTGAGGACCAAGGAGCCAGGGCCAAGGACTTTGCTGGAGGAGCCATGACTGAAGACACAAGACCATCCTTTGCGGACGTTTTTTGTGAACTGACACGCCACTTTATCAAAAATCAGTTGGGGATCTGATGCTTCAGATGAAGGATCTGAGGAAAGGACATCTCATGTCAGTCATAATGTGTTTCCTCGAGTCCTTTCTCCTCACGTATTTTTCCTGGCATCTTACAAGACTAAGACACAAAGAAAAGACACAAGTGAGGGAAATTACTTGAGATGTACATTTTCTCCAAGTCCTTTGAGACATACTTTGATGAGGATGGGTGATATAAACAATCTTGATATCTTTGACCTTTAAAATGACGTCCACAGTATTTGTGTTACATTTGGATGAGACCAGAACTAGTACAGTATGGAGTACATGCACTACCGTAGCTATGAGTGTATAGGCATAAAAAGGCCTTTAACCAATGAACCTTTCTTCCCTACATTCCCTACAGCCGTTGGTCATAGGTTCAGTCCTGTGCCAGATGTTCCACATCCCTAGATCATTTCACTTACTCTAGACAGAACTGGAGTTTATCTGAGAGTCCTTAATCACAGGAAGACATTTCATCATTCTATAGTGATAAACAAAGTGATTGGGTAGGGGTGAAAATGATGATGCCTCTGTTCACAGATAGAGAGCGCCATCGTGACAGCACCCGTGTTCTTTATAGCTTTTATCTACCTCTGCTTTTTATAGTCAGGGGTCCTTCATGTGACTCTTCCCTGCACGCTCGGAGCATGTGAAAGGCAAAGAGGCTGTCTCAGAGGAAATGACTTCACAACAAATAGCACTTCAGGGACCAGAGAGTATATGCAAAATCAGTTGGAGTGAGAGTAAGAAAGGCGATCTGGAGGACCAAGTCAGGCAGCGGCTTAATGTTTATACACTGGATGAACTTGGAGAGGAAGTAATTATAGAGCACGGTCTGAAGTTGATGAACAAAATGCTCCGTAAGATCAGGAGTGAAGGAAGGGGGGAGGGTTGGAGAGAATCAGGCAATCTGTCACGCTTCTCCTCACCGTAAATCAGACATCCATATTTAGCTGTAGAGAGGGAAGGCCTAGCAGTAATGTAAACAAAGCCTGGGAGAGAGAGGAAGGCAGGGAGAGTACATCAACACTAATGTTTGAGTCTATTGCCTGGGACAGCAGTCAGCATGGACTTTAGGAAAAGACAAGAAAAGGGTTGATTAGATTTCAAATAAAGGTTAAAAATCTGGTAGAGAGGGCAGTTAGTTGACTTTTGAAGAGATTCTGGTTCTCTTTGTGGATTTCTTAAAACTGCTTTATTGAGAGTTTTAACAAGAAGGTTTGAAGTGGACATGAGCAGGCCCAGGTTTGGTTCAAATGTAAGGAAGTGAGGACTGGAGCAAAGAAACTTGCTACGTATAGATTTGGAAAATCAAGATGGATCATCACCATATGTTACGTCACAAAAACATCATTGTAAAGTTGAGCTGAGAAATCAGGGAGAAACACATCAGAAACAGTTCCTGGATCAAAGTTCCTAAAGAGAGAGCCAGCAAAGGAGCTAACTATTTGACCTGTGATCATCCTCTGCTCACCATGAGTGACCTGTGCTCTGAGAGCTCTGAGGACGAGCAGTCTGAAGTGGAGGAGAGCCCACAGGAGCAAAGGGTGACCAGGCTGCCAATCATTCAGCTCATGCCCAGGTCCCCAGGTGGATCCCCAAAGAGCTCACCCAAGGATTCCCCACGGGCATCTCCCCGAAATTCCCCGCTACTCTTCAGAAAGCTGCTGATGAACCGCAGCATCAACCTGCAGAGGCGCCGCTTCACTCTGGCCCACACGCCCAGGTAGAGTCCATAAGTCTGAGGCCAAGGTGGCAAAGATGACAGTGCTTTGTGTTTCTGACAGAACCTTACTCTAGTGAGTTGATACAAGTTGATAATATTTTCACTTATAACTTCATCTGTACTGGAATGCTCAAGTGAATATTTCAGGTGAAGCTGAAGAGTTTAGTGAAAGAGCTAAAAAAAAAAAAATAGCATACTGACTTCCCAGTATTTCAAATGCAAGCACATTGTTATTGTCCTCACCTTTAGGATAAATGAGGAATGCTCAATTTAATTTGTCAGAAGTAACACACAGGACTCTTGCAACATGCAAACGTAGGACTTTTTCGTGACAAATGTAAAACTGTTCATGTTTCAGTGGATCTGTGTGTTGTTGTAGGAGCTGGTTGTTGTCTCATGGCTGAGAGTCACTCCACTCAGCTGCAGATGTTGAATATGTGTTTGGTTTGTTTCTGTGCAAGCAACAGCCTCTTACACCATAAAAGTGGTTGCCCTTTTGCCTGTGTTACAAAATTTCCTGACCACAAGATGCTCATTTAAACTCACTGCCCTCTTCCAGAATCAAATCTGCAATTGTCTACTGGAAATTCTGCTACATTAAAATGTGAGAATTTTAAATGTGCTGTTACAGCCTATATAAACAGACCAGGGGTTATTTACTGAGAATATTACACTGCATATGCAGAAATGGCCCTTGTTTGGTTTGTACTTGGTTAATGTTCATTATTTACAGTATATATTTGCAAAACAACGGAGCAAGTGGATTTTTGTGGATTTTGCTGACCATGGTTAACAATAGATCTACATTAGAAATTGTATTTAAAAACATGCTGTCAGTTAGTGCTAAATTTCCTACAGGTATGAGTGTTTTTCCACCTTTTTGTCCACCTCTTTTTAGGTGGCATCATCTTAGCAAACACACTACTCAGCATCTCAGCTGTCACCGGATCAGCAGTTTGCTGTTCCGCTTCTTTGTTAAGCAAGTCAGTAACATAATCCCCTTTTTAATAGCCACACCACAATGAAACACTACAGATTTCCTGCTTAACATTTTTTCAGTTATTCTTCATTTCTCATCTGTTATAGCAGCTTTTGTAAAGAACACAGCTGCTTTGCTGTCAGCCAGCTCTGCTCTGGTACCTGTTGATAGCTTTAGCTTTATGAGCTTCAGGCCTGGCTCACAATTCCAATGCAAATTAAACATTTACTTGGTTGAGTGTGTCGAGGCATATGACCAGTTAAACTGTACTTGACCTTCATTTGGATAAATAGGGCCTCATGTGTGGACAGATGTACAAACAAACAGATACTTTTTTTTTGCTTCAAGCACACACCTACCTATATGTTTGTTCAAAAGAAGACCATTGTGAAAGACTATCAAGTGTATAAAACCAGTTTTCCCCACTCATGCCTCCTATTTTTTTGTTGGTATTTACCCTTTGCTCCTCAACATATACACTCCCAGATGTAGGCACCAATTACAAGGTGTTTCCAACTTGTTGCAGTGATTTGAGCACATGTGAAATATAAATAAAAGCCTGGGAAAAACTGTAGCTGGGGCTGTAAAATTCTGTCTTATTTCAGCTGACAAGAAAAGAAGCCATTGCCTGCCAGAAAAATCAAGAAGTGTTTACAAGTTCATAAACATGTGGTGCAAGGTCATTTTTCAGGCATTTAATGGTCTTGGATTTGAGATTACTGATTTTTCCAAGGTTTCCTGTAAATCCTCAGCCAGATTGTTTCATTAATTTTCAGTGTGTCTGTTGAAAATCTAAATATTAGAGGGCAGATGTCCAGTCAAGTAAATTTTCAAGTCTGGAGAATCAGGATAACATACATATATTCGACATGTCAGGACTGTTATATTACACAGCTCCGAGGTCAGGCTTTTGGAAGTGTCCCTCTGCAGGGTGTGTGTAGTGTCCTATAATGTCAGAGCTGAAATAAATGGATGGAGATGAGTTATGGCAGGATGGCTGGCAAGGAAGAGGAATTAAACAAACCGGGGTTCCAGTGGAAAATAAATGTCACAGATAAATATAGAACATACCTGCTCTTCCACTTCAGAGACACTATGTTTTTGCCACAAAACATTTAATAAAGTTTGTTTCTGCGAGCCAGTACTGGACTGAGTAAATGGAATATAATGTATAAAAAAAATCAAACTAGTTTGGGATTATAGAAAAAAAAGAAAAATGTTGTAATAAGCTGTATTTATAGAGCACCTGGTGCCAGCATAGACCAGTTTAATGAGTGGATGGAAGAAAATTACCTGACACTAAGTCATAAATCAATGTTCATATGCGGTGACTTCAATATAGATTTGTTAAATCCAAACAAGCACACAGGAACTGAGGAGTTTATTAACACAATATATAGATGTAGTCTATATCCAAAAATTACAAAACCAAGTAGAGTAACA